GTAATTTTTGTTTTCTGATGCTAGTGTGGATATTGTTTCTATGCAAACGTTCAGAGAATATGATAAGACATCAAAGCCTTTGTCACAGGTGGAAAGTTGAACAGCCCTCGGTGGAGATGCTGGAATATTGCACACATAGGCGATAGGCAAGTCTAACACCCGTATTCACAAACATTACTATGGAAGTCTCACAGTGCACTCGAACATACAGGGTACAGAAAACATAAACAACAGAGGGATGAACAATAATATATATTCATCACTATGTACAAATTATAATAATATATTACTATGTTTAAAAGGGGCTGTAAAAAGAGAATTTAATTACACAATGATAACCTTGATTATGACTATTTGATGTTTGTTTAACCATCAGTTAACTTAAGTGAAGCTCATCAGGATGTTAACAAATCACAGCACCCATTTTATGATATGTATATACACGTTTTGTAAATGGTAGATCCATGCTGCAGCTATATAATGATTGTAGCACAAATGGGTCGGCTCAACCGGGGTGGGACCACACTCTTACAGAATACCAGCGTAAAATAGCAACTCAATGCTGAGACCCTTTTTACTGGAAACGAGGCATTTGATCTCAGTCCTCAGGGGTGACAACCAATCTGCATTTCTGATTCTTATTTAAGGATAAAATAAATGTAGATATCTATGGGCCACAGCATCCACTCACCGTCAGGTGGACTAGGTGTTCATTTATCACCCTTATTCTATAAAAGTGTGTTCCTTTTGTATATGTTCTCGAAATAAATGGCTCGCCATACCAAACGCATCGAGAATCATCTTACTTATCATTGCTCACATACTTGAGTTTTGTTTGTGAATACAGGCATCAGTTTGTGCAGTAGCTGCATTGTTAGTGTCCACTCATTGTAACTACAGTATAGTACAAGCAGGATGCACTATTGATACATGTGGCATTCAGCACACGAGATTCAGGCATGTTATATTCCTAATCCTTCTGACTTGGTCATATTTAGGTAAAATATTAGCTGCCATTTGTCGTGAAATTAACAATAAAATTGAGAATAATCTACCATTCAGCAAGTTATTGTATTCGTGACTAGATCTTTTGTAGTGAATGGCGGCTGAAGGTTTATCACTCATAAACATAATGTGAAACTGTACACTGAACAATTCTGTGTAGCTGCAAAACTCATAAATACATATTGTACACGCAAATTGTTTACTGTGACGGATTATACAAGGTGTAAGTTATATAGTTTGTTTGTAATTGTATTAACAATGATGTACTCTAAACAGTAGATACTATTCTCCTTCAGTTAAGTGAATTAAGGATCTCTGTATACCATATGTATGAAAAATTATAATTGTATCTTATATTTAATGTTGTAGCTTTCCAATAAGCAACACTTTTCCATTACAATACACACAATCCTGATTACTAGTTATGATAAATGCATGTCTGTTAGGTCATAAGTTTATTTTATTTCAAGTTCAGAACATGGAAATATGACAACCCTATTATAGTAGCTAAGAAATTCAGTGGGAACAAACTAATGGCTAAACCACAATAAAAAAATATTTTATAATATTAAGTACCACAATAAGTTTACTTTTAAAAGTGGCAAAATATTTTTTAAATATAATATGTACATAACGCCGTGGTAGTTCAAAAGGGCTTAAGCCAGAACAGTATGCATGCAGCCCGGGTTAAATCCTAGCTGGCACCAATGAAATTATTAATTGCAATTTAAGTGCCGATTTATCACATGCTCTGCGGGTCAAGGTTAGTTGTACAAAATTCTGATAAATAAAAATATATTTCAATGGCATATGGAGTTAGCCAATACACATAAGGGTAGCACAGCCAACACTTCTTTGACCTACAATCTTTTTCAGAAATAAGAGGTCTCTGTCGACCAATGGCTATATATATATATATATATATATATATATATATATATATATATATATATATATATATATATATATATATATATATATATATATAGTCTGTAACTTTATGCATATAATATGTAATATTTCAAAATGTCACTTTTATATTAGTGGTATTGTTTGTTCGGATCACTAAAGGTTCTTTACATTTTCGCTATGGATTTGTAGATGATTTTTCTAACATATTATATGGTAACAAAACTTTCAACTTTCATTAATATTCAACTAAATTAAAGATTCCTTTACGGATACATTTATAATACATTTTGTAACCAAACATATTTCATAAACTCGTATCTATTATGTACAAATAAAGAACCATAAGTTCTTAAAATCTTCAACGTTATGCTAAAAAAAGTCTAAAACACAAATTAAATCTATAAATGTCACTTTATGAAACATATCCTCAAAAAGGCTTACATACTCAAACAGCATACTATAACTACACTGTGAAATACACCTAAAACATAATGCATAGTTGTATATCTCGCTCCAGCTGAAAATGCTGAATGCGTTATCTATACATGGTAGAGCCATGCTGCAGCTCTATTAGTAGTATAGTTGTAGCATGAATGGGTCGGCTCCACCGGGGAAGGACCATGCTCTCACAGAATACCAGCATAAAATAGCAGCTTAAAACTGCTGTGATTCGATGGTGTAGAGAACCGGAGACCCTTTTTACTGGAAAAAAGGCATTCCATCTTAGTCCTCACGGGTGACAACACATCTGCATTTTGATTCGCAAGTGAGGATAGATGTAAATGTCTATGGGCCACAGCAACCACTTACCATCAGGTGGATATGTGCTCGTTTGTCACCCTATCCTATAAAAAAAACCTAAATAATTAATGTCATTCATGATCAGCATCATTACAGCTCTTCACACTAGGCTGAACATGACCCATTTACACAAGGCACGTTTCTTGCCTGATGCATACAATTAAATTAAAGCATTAAATTACTTGCATGGTCTAAACATCACTTGACATACTTGATCTAGGGCATGTTTCAATTCAAAACTTTTTTTGGTGTAAAACAGCACAAACAATAAATTTCTTATGAAATTTTTGTATGCAATTGGATTTTCTCTTCATTTGCAAACATGAGTGCAGGTGTATAGATCACTGCTGCTTAAATATTGAGATAACATTATAAAAAAAAGTATTGGATCAAAAAATTTATATTAAGGGAAGTTCTCGGAGCATCTGACAATATATTGTGTGAACAGAACCCAGTTTTATTATTTCTTAGATAAATTTGGTTCTTCTATACAAATACAGAATACAAATCAGCAGAACCGAATTTTAACAATGACTCATTTTTTAACAAACACTTCTCTTCTTAAAGGTTCAACACTTGAATCAAAATTTTGCCAATTCAAATATGTGCAATACAAGAAGCAAAGCAACATGTCAAAAATAGCACAAGCAAGTACAAGGCTGTATTTAAACAAGTCAAAACTTAAATTGCCTTAGTGTAAACAAAAGACGCTAGCATACAAAGTCCTTTCCGATCGGCTCGATTAATTGGCACTGCGAAGAGATGTTGCATCCCTTTGCATTTACCACGGGGAGTGCTCTGAGGAACTGTTCGGATTAATGCCATCCGCCAAATTTCACGAACGCACATCGCGGCAGAACTCCCAATACCATCCACACTATGGATGATTGGCGGTCCACCACTGTGCGATTTATAAGATGTTTTCTTCCTCGCAAGACTGCCTTGTGTAATCGATTACCATAAGCAATTTTTCCGGACCGATACGACTTAGGGACCTTAAAGAAAAGAGCCTACTCCTTTTTAAAAGGCCGGCAACGCATCTGCAATACCCCTGGTTCCCCTGGTGTTGCGGTTGTTCATGGGCGGCGGTAGTCACTTACCATCAGGTGAGGCGCATGCTCGTTTGCACCCTCTCCTATAAAAAAAAATATATTCTTTGTCAAGACTTGCATTCAATAATCGCTTTCAATCATCTACATGTAAACAGTTTCTTAGAATTCTAGAATTACAATTCTTGCAGTTATTTAATTGCATTCAATAGTTGCTCTTGTATGTACAAGAAAATGGTATCACGTAAATGGGCCTTTAGCCTCCCCAAGGAATGCCACAAATGTCATTCTCAATATAAAATTTTCATGCAGGGTTCTCAGTGTGCTTACAGTAAGCTACAATGTCAAAAACAAATGAATGTAAAAGGCTATATGTCTTTTTTATAACATAATCACTGCAGTAAAAGGCTATATGTCTTTTTTATAATGTAATCACAGATTTTTTGCATGGTCACAAACTATAAAATGTCCATCTCATCAAGTAATGGTTACAGATGATTTTTTCAACTTAAATCCATGATTTCAATTATCAACTAAGCTAAGATATTATCTACACCTAAACAGTATTGGGGTCACAAACCAACATAAGATTTACTATATTATTTAGATACATTACAAGTGATGCCAAAACCATGCTCAACTTGCATGACATGCACTCACTCACTAACACACACCTTTCTTCTGTTTTTTTTTTATCAGCTTGTATCATTCTAGAGAATGTAGACATTAATGAGGATATCCTCCATAGAGATCATCTTTAAATGAGCATTGCAGTTTACTTATACTGTACTTTTACAATTATTTTACAATATTAAAAATATACAATATGTAAAAAATACATGTCCCATCCATGAGCTTTTGGATAATAGATGATTTGATCCATGTAATGGTTTACAGTGAATAAATAAAAAAACTACCTAATATAATGTAACAAAATGTAAAAACTTAAAGGCAGAGCTGACCATTAGATGACAATACACCATAAGTTCAAAAATTGCCAACAACAGTGTTGCCCGATCTTAAAAATTTGCTGAATTTCAAGCAAATCATAGTAAAACACACATTTTAAATAACAATAACATTTTTATACACATTAATAATATTATCCTATATGCCCCTTTCGGATTGTACTGTTTTTATACATATTGTATATTTATTATTAAATGCACTCACATATTAATGTTCAAATAGGCCTATGTACATTTTTTATGGTTGGTTATCCTTACTCAACCCTCAGTCTGTTTTTAACCGTTTTGCTGGTGTTGTAGTGCCACTGCTCTGGGAGTTTGAGTCTTCAGAAAAGTTCATGTGTGTTGATGTAAACTCTGTTGGTCCCTGAGAATCACTAACAGTTGAGAAACCTGAAATTAAACAATTAATATTTATTTATTTTAATTAAAAAGTTATAAATTACTCATGTTAACACATTCGCGTGAGCAACCTCATCTCTAAATGTTTGTACTGCGGCGGTGTTATGTTTGTACTTTTTTCCATACAGAGTTAAGCAACGTCTCAAGACGTCCCGCCGTAATACGTATGTCTTAGAACTGTGTTATGTGGCGCAACGTTTCTTCACGTCCGACGTTTATAAACGTTGCCGCCACCACGCAGGTCCGATATACCACAATAAATGACACAACGTTCATCCGCGAAAATAAATATGACAATCTAGAGGACGTCCTATGACGTCGCGCCATTTCATAATTCTATCAACACGACGTTGTAAGATGTTGCTCACGCGAACGTGTTAATTAAAAAAATTTATTACGAGGGAGTGTAGTAAGTCTCAATGCTGCTTCAGCATGGGCTAGCCTACTGAATTATTTATATATTATAGTATGAGTAGAATATACTTATATGTGGTAGAGCCACACTGCAACTATATTATGTTTTTTTTTAATGGGAATAGGGTGACAAACGAGCACACAGTCTATGTTAAAAATAAAAACAGTTAGTAGTATACTTAGTTAGTTCTTTACCAGCACTGAAATTAAGATTTTCTCCTGTATCATGAAGATGGTTTACATATCTATCAAAAACTGCACAAGAACAAACATCCCAACCCAGAACAATTATCTATAGGCTATACAAAACCTTTTTCTATGCGGGATGTCAACCTACCCCTCAACATGGAACCATATGCTATCCAGGGTGTTACTAAGGCATCAGTGCAGTTAATAATTATTAAAATTTATTAATAGACAGTATGAAGTATGAGTGTTAGACAAGATATGAAACTACCATTGATTTTACTTACACTTTTGCACAATATAAATTTAGATACAGAGCATAAACACTATATATATACATAATAATAGATTTTATAGAACCAATTAAAATTATAAAGAATATAGGATAAAAATTAGAATTTGCATTTAAATATTAACAATAAAATTTTGAAATAAGTTTACTTTAAATTATTTTTGTTTCAATACCCTATGTATTATTATTATATTTTTCTTATTTTTTTAATTTAGTTACCTATAAGTTTCTCTGGAAATTAAAACAGAAATGAAAAGAAGAAAATGCATATTTAATAAAAATGTATATGTAATATTTATTTCTGTTCAACATTGAACTAATAGATGACATACCTAGTATCTTTTCAGTAGTTAGAGACACAAAAACAGGTCTCTAGGCAGGCTCTAGATCTAGACATTGGCTAGTTTTAAATAGATATTAGGCATTACTGCAAATTGTTTAGTTTCAAACAGAATGAACTGATGATTAAAATAATTACTTAATAATAAAAAAGTAATATTTAATGAAGTAATAAGCATAATTAAAAACTAGCTTTTAATACAGCTATTAATGAAGCTTAAAATTTCAGTGGTGCAGGTACCGAAAATTTATTTAGGTTGCTTTCGTGAGTTAATTTACTATTAATCAACAATAAAAAGTAGAATATTAAAATCTTACAAGTATTTGAATCTTCAGCCATGCCGAAGTTGGAATTTGATGAATCGTGTAACTTTTTAGGGGTCAAGGTATTTTCCTTATTCTCGCGTTTTGCCGCATGTTTTTTCTTCTGCTCGTTCGTAGATATAGGAACCCATTTGTAAATTTTCATAGTTGTTTCCCCAATGGTCACCCATTTCTTTTCCCTGTAAATAATTAAAGTACAACCTACGTATTAGGAAAAGAAAATAAAAATAATTTTCGCAAAAATTTCTAGCTTCTTACCAATGGCGAACTTTTTCAACAGCTTGCATGACTCTTTTGATATCGTCTTTTACACGATTTCTCGTTTCAGCACGGACAGAGCGCGACATTTTGTTAATCAATTAAATTACTTCAATATTTGGAATTAATTAATTGGATTGAAAAGAATTTAATAAATAGCGCAGTAAAATTTTAAATTTGAACCACGCACATTTGTACAGATTTCGTTTTCGTTTGTACTTCCGCCACCGCCATTTAATAAACTGAATTACTGAACTGACACCTGACAGAACTATGGAGTGTAGAGAGAAGGAGGAGGAGGACCATCTCTATACTATAAGGCCCGCCATATACATACGGAATTCCGTTTCAATATTCCGATTTGAGATTCCGAACGCAGCAAGTTCATATAAATTCTATGACCCGTCACACACGTACCGTAGTTCTCCGTTCGAAATTTTGCGGGCAAAACGGGATTCCGTATGTGTGTGGCCGACCCGTTCGGAATTCCAAAATGGAATCTCGAAACGGAATTCCGTATGTATACCTTATTATTATAGACCTTATGTCAAGTAGCACAAAATTACGTTTTTGCAATAATTTATAAACAGTCGCTAAATTATGATTTACAGTTTTGATAACGCTTAGTAAGCCTTGGACAACTAATTCAGTGGTGAGCAAGGTTGGCCACGGGTTTGCTGAAGTTGCGGTTTAGGCATCATAATCGCTCCGAAAAGTCAAATGGACTAATGTTGATTGTAATTTTGTCAATCCAACGTGTCTGTGATAACACATCTAATCTATGTCGTCACCCGTAGTGAATGCCTTTCCACAATGCGTTTGCATATTTTTTTTATTGTATTTTTCCTTTGAAATACCGTGCAGACGAATGATAAACCACAGCCGAAATTAAGAAGAGGTCTTCATGAGCATTCCTCACTTCCGGTGAAGTTGCCATAGTCCACATCTACCCGTTTATGTATGTGCCCTATTGTATATTCTGCCTTAGCTTTAAAGCAGGATCAAAGTTATTTACACTGTTTAGTTGGACTTTTGCGTTATGTGGGAACTTGACCGCCGCAAAAGCGACATTATAGTGATATGATAGTGATATAAATCGAATGATTTTTTACTACCTAGAAATGTTAGGGTATTGTCGTCGTCAATATGGTCATTGCATGGTCTGAAACCTTTACCTGCCGGAACAACAACAATCACTATGAGCATATCACCTTGTCTATTGGTGTAGCGTTTTGTCAATGCTACAAACTTGTAAAAGGACTAGGTCAATGCTACCTATTATTATTATTAATGTATGTCAGTACCTACATAGACTGCTTAATTTTGTACTTCATATAAAATCTCATTAAAAACCTGTTTCTTATTTAATTTTAAGTTATGTAATTCGTGATGGATATATATACAATGTGTCCGGTTACCGGTGTCGGAGCTTTTAATGCTATAAAATATAATCAATTTCATCGACAAATCATGTCTCAAATCTCATTTAGACCTAGCTGTATTTAAATGGCAGCCATTTAAATTTTTCAGTGTCACCACTTCGACCCCGCGCATTAAAACTACAATATTCCCCGATGTAGAAGTCCTACATTCTTAAAAGATGTCTAATTGGGTAGATAAAGATACGTGTAATAAAATAAAAGGAAGCTTTTAACTGCAAAGTTGTATTTAGATCCTAAAAAGACTAAGAAAAGAAAAAAAATGTAAAAAAATCGGTTATTTTTTCACATTTTTGACTTTAATGAAAAAAGTCGGTCATTTACCTATCAATTTTGTACATTTATTAGATAGAGCAAGATATTTCCTTAACATAAACGTTAAAATCGTAAAAAGTAAATTAAATAGTTTAAGAACTATACTTTATCAAACACGACCTCTTAAAAGCGCAAGCTGCACGTGCAGGATCATTTATGATAGTTCAAGAGCAGGTAGAAAAACCCAAAGCCCATTGTTTGATGTTCTAAACAAGTGTACTTGGGACAACAAAAACAGTCGTCCCTCGCCACGCGTTGTGATTACACTACTTTTGCCCCTCTAAGATCGCTTGTTGTTGTTATTGTTAAAAAAAAACCGTTTTGTTGAACTTTTTAAGTTTGTGGTGAAGTTTCTAGTTATTTTGATATTTTCAAAAATGGCAGATGGTGAATATTCAAACCAGCATGTCGCTAATATCCACTTTGTGTATGGATTGTGCAACGGCAACGCAAACAGAGCTGTCACAGAGTACGCCAGAATGTTTCCCAACAGACGTACACCAAATGCTCGCACTTTTGTAAGGATACATTTGCGGATAGCTGAACTTGGGATCAGAACACCCGCTAAAGAAAGATTTTGGCTTGTGGCACCTGAGGAGGAAGAAGAGATATTACGTTTAATTACACAAGATCCCAGACTCAGTATAAGACGAATAAGCAATATGCTTGTTGCAATAACAAAATGGTCAGTGTGGAGAGTTTTAAAGAGGGAAGGTTTGCATCCTTACCATTTTCGGCGGGTACAAGACATTCGCGAAACTGATTATGCTATAAGGGCAGTTTTTTGTTCGTGGATCAATAGAAGAACAAGACAAGATGCAGATTTTTTAAAAAGATTTTTGTGGACTGACGAAACCACTTTCACGAGATCGGGTCATACAAATCACCGTAACGAGCATCTGTGGCTTCAAGAAAACCTTCATGCTGTTAGAGAAAGTACTTTCCAACATGAAATTCGAGTGAACGTTTGGACTGGAATAAAAGACAATATTTTAATTGGGCCGATAATTTTACCAGAAACTATGAATGGCCCAAGATTTTTAGAGTTTTTGCAAACACAGTTTTTGGAAGAATTAATGGAGCTTCCATTAACTCACAGAGCAAGGATGATTCTCCAACTTGACGGTGCACCTGCACATTTTGCAGTAAATGTGCGAAATTATTTAAATGACCGCTATTCGCCGTGGATTGGTCGCGGTGGAGGGATCGCTTGGCCTCCGCGTTCACCGGATTTAACTCCCTCAGACTTTTTTCTATGGAGCACTATGAAGCAAAGAGTTTATGCGAACGTGCCAAACTCACGAGAAGAGTTGATTAATAAAATAATCGAAGTTGGAAATGAATTGCGACAAGATCGGGAGATGATCAGACGTGCAACTCAACATGTGGCAATAAGGGCTACAACATGTCTTCAACATCACGGAGGTCATTTCGAACAGTTTTTATAAATAACTTTTTAGTTACGTGCATTTTGAAATGTGTTTCATTCTTCTCATCAATTCACTTTGTCTGTCTGCAACCAGGGCGACAAATTTTTCAAAGGTCATATTCAAACAGTTATAATACTGATTTTTTTTTTGGTTACAATTAAGATAAATATCTTTTTGTTTTTGTTTTTGGTTAGGAAATGTTCTGATCTATCTGATTAATGTAAAAAATCATTAGGTAAATGACTTACTTTTCTGATGATTCTGATGATGAAATGTTTCACATTTTCGAATTCATTAAAGTCGAAAATGTGAAAAAATAACCGATTTTTTTACATTTTTTTCTTTTCTTAATCTTTTTAGGATCTAAATACAATTTTGCAGTTAAAAGTTTGCTTTTATTTTATTACGCGTATCTTTATCTACCCAATGAGACATCTTTTAAGAATGTAGGACTTCTACATCGGTGAATATTGTAATTTTAATGCGCGGGGTCGAAGTGGTGACACTGAAAAATTTAAATGGCTGCCATTTAAATACAGCTAGGTCTAAATGGGATTTGAGACATGATTTGTCGATGAAATTGATTATATTTTATAGTATTAAAAGCTGCGACACCGGTAACCGGACACATGGTATATATATATATATATATATATATATATATATATATATATATATATATATATATATATATATATATGACCGACATAGCCCAATGGATTAGTAAGCTGAATTGGCAATGGGCCGGCCATATAGCTCGAAGAACCAACAACCGATGGGGAAGAAAGGTTCTCGAGTGGCAGCCTCGTACCGGCAGGGGAAGTGTTGAGCGTCCCCCCACTAGATGGAGTGACGACCTGGTAAGATATGCAGGAAGTCGATGGATGCAGGTGGCTCTGGACCGTGCTTTGTGGCATTCCTTGGGGGAGGCCTATGTTCAGCAGTGGACTTGTGAAGGGCTGTAATGATAATAATGATGATATGTAATTCTTCGTTGACGCCGCAAAGGGGCAAACCTCAATTTTTCAAAAAAATTACATGAGAGCAGGGAAACATTTATTATTCCCCATTACTAGCTATTCCCCATTGCGGCGTCAACGACAAATTGTTATACATTAAGCGAAGATCAAGAATAAAGCAAAAACTTAACGTTGAGATGACATAAGCAAAGGCCAAATACTTGTTCGACAGTATATTCTAAGTCTATGACATAGGCATAGATAAGGAGTCAATGAGATAAAGGTATAGTCTATATCTATGGAAACAGGCTTTTCTTATTGGAGGAAATAATAATTTGACCATTTGAACCAATGGTAAAGCGGAAATGAGTATATTTTATTTTTACAGCAACTAAAACGATGTAATTGAAAACTTAGAATACGAAAAAATCCAAATGAAAATTTTTACAGGTGATAAATGCCCAAAAAATAAATTTAATATATCCAAAATGTTGCAGTAAGACAGGTAAATAAATCATATTGCTTACTTGTCACCACTTATCTCTTAAATAAAGGACTCGAAGTAGTTTTATTTTCCTGAAATTCAGTGTAAATCAATTTTGACATTATCTCAGCGGCTGTCAGTTGTTTTACGTTTTATTACATTTTTTCCTCACTGATTTCTATTTATATACGATTCTAAATTGTACACAAACCTTCATGCGGCTCGGGCTGCAGGGATGCTCACTTATGGCTATGATGCAACGAGATGATAAGGTGCTTTAAATTTACCGAATTTATGTTTGTACTTCTGACTTATTCTTTATCTTGCTTATCCTATGTTTCCTCTTCTTCTCTGATGTGGTTAAAGTATTTGAAGCTAGCTTCTATTTTTTTTGTTGTAGTTATGGAAATAACCTTAACAGGTTTTATAGTTTCTGTGTGCCGATTTCCTTACCATAATTTACATGTTTGCAGGCTTCCACTTGTCATGCTCTACACTTTCTGTGCGGAAGTTGATTTTTTAAATTTTACTTAAACCTGTTGCAAACATTTCATATGCAGCAAATGTACATTAGGGGTTTTGATTATATTTTTTGATTATCACTTACTTAAATTAAGTATTAATTTTTGATATGCCTGTCTCTGTCTATTGCCATTTCATGTAAAGAAAGGGAGAGAGAGTGACTATAAGCATTTCTCAAATTTACATTTATTTTTATGGGTAAATGCTTACATGTATTAAGCATAGTAAGCAAAAAAAAGGGAAAATTAAAAATTGCTTGTTTGAAATTAAGTCAATGGGTTAACACTGTAGGTGAATCATTTCATATCCTACAATACTACAAATTCCTCATTACATGTTCACTGGAAGTGTGTTTATTTGTATTTAGCTATAGTGTATAATATACAATTATTTTTCAAATCAAGACACCAATCAAAACTACAAAAATTTGAAATTGGTATTTAGACTATTGTCACTGATAAAGTTAAGTTAGATTTTTTTTCATCATCATAAATATCACACCACACATCAAAATTTCAATTTTCATTGTTAATAATGCTGAAATGTTGTAAGACTAGCTTCTAAAGATAATAATCACTGCACTAGTACACAAGGCACTCACTCAGCTTGGTTTTTTTTTGTTGCAGTTGTACCCTGCATGTTGTGTTTGAATCATAGAAGTGGTGCAATAAATTGTTTTATTCACATTGTTCGACATAAGGTTCGGCTAACGAAAACCGTGAATATTTCCTTCCCGTATGGCTGCGTATGTTAATCGTACCATATCAATGATGGCTGGTGATGGGCCGCATAACGTCGCAACGCTCAATAATGGTGCTGTCCGTGTCAACATGACTAATGTGGACTCCCCGCTACAGATATTTGTAAGGGCCAAGAAGAAGATCAATGACATTTTCATTGAGATTGATGACTATGTCAAGGATGCAGTTACATTTATGCATGGTAAGTTTTTTATTTTATGGCATGAGACTGAAACATACTAACTTGCATTTAAGGTTAAGCAGCCCACAAAGAAAACCCTGCAACCATAATATGGTAGTTTTTATAATTATGTTTTTTTTAATAACATTGAAGTGATAAACCAAATGTGTCCATGTGATGGTCACCGACATGATACCTCGCTTATAGAGGTGTTCTCTGCTACTTTCTTTCGGTTCACATCAGGCAGATAGGGTTATGTGACATTTCCACGTTGAGCAATGTTGAATTATTTTAATTTTTAATTATCTCTTCAACAATGAGTCTAAATAAAATGCCATATAGAACAAAGCTTATCTTCATCAAATTGTCTTTATGATGAAGTAACTTTGTTCATAAGGATTAATATGCCATGCCTAATAATAACTTTTTAATTTTGAATAATTTTTTGACACAAAGTACCTTATTGTGGCTTATAATAATACATTTTTTAATAGGCATATGGTATCCTGGACATATTTTTAAATGAAGTAAAGCTCATTAATTTTGTAGCACATTGTATTTACGTATCACTAACTATTACGCCAGCACACACGGAGCAGTTCGGGGTGCTTTATCTTTTAAATTGCTTAACAAAAATCAATTAAGGTTAGCTGAGAGGTGCAGCCTATACTATTCCTCATGAATCTGGCTATCATATACAAAAATAATTTTTCGAATCAGACTGCTAGTTCTAGAAATTAGTGTGTTTTAACAAACAAAAACTCTTCCATTTTATTATATTAGTATAGAGTATGTTATCACTTTTTTTCTGCATATTTCATTATTTTAATTTTAATTTTATAATAATATGTAATTAGTTGCCCTTGTATATCTTCATAAGGATGAACAGATTTTCTTGAAATATAGCTAAAACACTTGATTAAGACACCTTTCAAAGGAAAAAAAACTTAATCAAAATTGGGTCATCCATTCAGAGCTATGATGCCACAGCAGACACACAGATGTGCAGTTTACACACTACAAAACTGGGTTTAAAAATAAGTAACAGACATACCAATGAATGCCAAGAAACTTGTTACTCAAAAATTATAATACTTATAATTCTTTTTTACTAGTATCAATCTTTTCAATGTTCCATCTTAAGCATGTGTTCACTTTTCATATATTTAAGTCACTTGGAAAGTACCTCTGTGTGTATTTTGCTTTTAAACTTCTTCCAAGTATTAAACGATTTTGGAAACAGGTGGTAAGGAGAATTTAGCGGATGAGTTAGGATTGACACCAAAAGTTCAAAATACTTGGGGTTTTTAATACTTTTTACAGTCCCGTTTATGATAAATCATAGTGTGACAATGACGTCGACACAACTCCACTACTGTGAGCAAATTCCTGCTAGATTCTATTGAAGAAATCATTTTTCAAATTAAAATATTATAAGTAAATATCTAGCCTCTATAATGATGCATAACTTCTTTTTGGCTTGCCATTTGTATCTAAAGATATCAGAATTCTTTCTTGGATCTGCATGAGACTCTCTTTACTTAACTTATCTTTAAATAATTCTCTAAACGTATTTAGAAAACTGAGCATTAATTTGATTTCTCAGGTTACAGTGAAAACTTTAAATTATTATGTTTAATGCTTATACTTCTGTTTTTGATATCTATGTATATATTGAGTTCTGTTTTGTAGCAGTGTCGGGCGAAAACAAGATCGCAACTTCTCAGGATGTGGCTAACATCGAGGCTTACGTCAACAAAGTGCAGGCTATTCGGGAAGTGCTCAAAAGAGACCATATGAAGGTGGCCTTCTTTGGCAGGTTAGTTAATTACCATTACTACATTATTTCCCTAACTTTGTGCAATTACATTTTAATCCACTGGTTACTTCAAAATTTTTTTTTGATTCCTTTGATCTTTTGATTAAAATAAACAAAATGTTTCTTGTTTTCATAAAACAAACAAATGAGATTTGCTATGTAAACATTATTATTATACAAAATCTATCACATGATACTGATTATCAAGTTTTTCCATTTGATTAATTTTGTATATTATTTGCCTATAAAAAATATTTGAACCTATTAAAACTAATTTTTTTTTGTCATTTTTGAATAAACATAAGTAACTATTTTTAGAACAAGCAACGGAAAAAGCACGGTAATAAATGCTATGCTCCATGACAAAATACTACCCAGCGGCATCGGCCACACGACCAACTGCTTCTTGCAGGTAGAGGGCTCTGACACAGATGAAGCCTTCTTGCGTACCGAAGGCTCAGAAGAGAAGCTTAATGTGCAGGTGAAATGATAAACAGACTGATGAATGTATGTTATTTATTAAATGTTTTAGACATTGCTAAATGTTTACTTGGACTCTACATGTATTCTCAGTAACAAATGAAAATGCAGATGCGTTGTCACCCATGAGGACTAAGATGGAATGCCTCTTTTCCAGTAAAAAGAGTCTCCGGTTCTCTACACTCACCATATGAAACACAGCAGTGTTAAACTGTTATTTTACGCTGATATTCTGTGAGAGCGTGCTCCTTCCCTGGTCGAGCCGACCTATTCGTGCTACAACTATACTATTAATATAGCTGCAGCATGGCTCCACCACTCATAAAAATCCATCAACCCCTTTCATCCAGTGGGTATCTTATAATAATAATAATAATAATAAAGCCATTTATTCAACAGTACGTAATACAATTTCTTAATATCTAAGTCATATAAAATCTACATTGTCTTCTGCTGATTGCCAATCGGCAAAGGCCTCCTCCAACCTTTTCCACTCGTTTCTATCATTGGCAACCCGGTTCCAAGTCACACCCGCGAATTTGACCAGGTCGTCCTCCCATCTTTGGTGGGTATCTTAAGTGGTGACTATTAGGATTGTTAGAGAAATCTTATGGCTTCAGATAGATGGCGCTATAACGATCTCGTCTACATTAAATACCCAGACTGGTGATGTTTGTTACTGCAATCAACAAACCGTTCCATAGCGATTAAGACTTTTGGCTCATACTGTCTGTGTAACTTTAGATAGATAAGATGGAATGCCTCTTTTCCAGTAAAAAGGGTCGTATGGCAAGTGTCTCTACACTCGCCATACGACCCTTTTTACTGCAGCACAGCAGTGTTAAGCTGCTATTTTATTCTGGTATTCTGTGAGAGCGTGGTCCTTCCCCGGTCGAGCTGACCCATTTGTGCTACAACTAAACTCGTAATATAGCTGCAGCGTGGCTGTAGCACGTACAAAATAGTATTGTGTTATGTAATGTATTGTAGTCGGTGAGCCAGCTGGGGCACGCGCTGTGCGCGTCGCGGCTGCAAGAGTGCGCGCTGGTGCACGTGCACTGGCCGCGCGAGCTGTGCGCGCTGCTGCGAGACGACGTGGTGCTGGTGGACAGCCCCGGCGTCGACGTCACGCCCAACCTGGACCAGTGGATCGACCGCTACTGCCTCGACGCCGACGTCTTCGTGCTCGTCGCCAACGCCGAGTCCACCTTGATGGTCACGGTCAGTGCCTAGCCTTCACATTGTCCTTTGCCTACTGCCACAATTCTAACTGTCGATGTAATGTCAATAATAATGTAATGCCTCAGGAGTGACGAGGATTTTTGATTCTTAATCGAGGATAAATGTAGATGTCTATGGGCCACAGCATCCACTTAACATCGGATTAACAATGCATGGAAGTAACAGCAAATTTATTATGTAGATACATAATAAATTTGCTGTTACTCCCATACAATGTCCGATATGTAATGGATAACCCCACAGGTACTAGTGGGAGGGCGAAAGGATTTGATATGATACTTTGAAGACAAATGCATTGCCTGTTGTTTCTCTTCAACCGACTTCAAAAAGGAGGAGGTTCTCAATTCGCCGGAATCTTTTTTTTATTGTACGTTCACCGAATACTCAAAGATGCCTGCACCGATTTGGAAAATTCTTTTTTGAAAGCTGGTGCTTCTCATGTGGTCCCATATAAATTTGATCAATGTCTAACCAGTAATTTTTGAGTTATACTTAATAATTTATATTGAAATTGGTTGTAAAAAATTTCTTGTTGGGTGTCTTACTGTTGACGTCATTAGATGATATTAACCAGTGTTGACAGGTTGTGTCCTTTGAGCTTGTCTTATTGTTTCATCATCATTACAGCCCTTCCCAAATTCATTACTGAACATAAACTTCCCCAAGAAATGCCACAAAACATCATCATTACAGCCCTTCCCAAATTCATTACTGAACATAAACTTCCCCAAGAAATGCCACAAAACATGATCCAGAGCCACCTGCATCCATCAATTTCATACATGTCTTACCAGGTCGTACGAGGCTGCCACTCGAGAATCTTTCTTCCATTTACCACAAATCAAGAAATCAAATTAAAATCTTATTGTTTGGCCCAATCAAAAGCGCGAATTGACTTACGATTAAACTTGAAAAAAGTTAAAATCTGTTCACATAAAACTTAAAAAATATTAATAGCGTTTGAAGTCAGTGTCAGTGTAATAAGGCAAGGTGTATCAAGATCAGAAACTATGAAATTATGTAGAAACTAACTAATTAATTTTTTTTAAATTGGTGTTTATTTAAAAATTCAACTATCTTATAGTTCAGTAGTCATGATCGTGAGGGTATTGTACAATATGAGCGGGTCTCACAGATCACAGAGTACATGAAATGATCTATTTGAATGATTGACCCGAATGACCACATTCGACGATTTCAAGGCTACTCAATACTTGAATGATCGGGTCACTAGAAATGTATGAATGATACATGTCTAATGTAATGTACGAAGTTTGACAGCAAATGTCAAATTTCACGAAGACTGGCGCCGCGGCTGAGGGACTTCGTTAGGAATAACGGCCATAGCTTAACTTGAAACTAAAAATAAACCATTTTTTGTAACAAATAAGATGGACTATAAAGACTTAAAATGGTATATATCTTTGAAAAAATATGTTTAACTATAATATGATTTGTATTTATGTGTAAAACGTAAACGAAAATAAGAAAACGTAAGTTTTCTACGTACATGTAAATGTTAAATCTAATGAAATGAAAAACTATTATTTTCAGGAGAAGAACTTCTTCCACAAAGTTTCTACGAAGATATCACAACCGAATATATTCATACTGAACAATCGATGGGACGCCTCTGCTTCGGAGCCTGAATATTTGGATCAGGTATATTCTCTTATTTTTTTTTAAATATTATATAGCCGGCCCATATATTCTTTTGTAATACTAATTAATTTCCCATTATTGATTTTTCAGGTACGCACTCAGCATGCTAACCGTTGTGTGGATTTTCTGTCACGTGAACTTCGTGTATGCACTCCAAAGGAAGCGGAGGAGAGGATATTCTTCATATCGGCTAAGGAGGCTCTACTCACCCGCATGAGAGAAAGAGAAAAACCAGTTTCATGTGAGAGCTTATTTTTATTATGTTTATATGTTTTTTTTTATTGAAGTAAGGTTGAAAAAGACTGACTGTCCATCTGATTGGGAATGGAAGTTTTGGTCCATAGACACTTTGTTTTTACATGGGGAAATGCCTACGTATACCCGCCTCGCGGGGGCAATGATGGGTTATGTCGGACTTGCACCGACTAAAAGCCCATGGTGTTCTACCTTCGCCGCATATTGGCAGGGCCACGGGAACGCTTTTGCACACATCCGCGGCCCCACCAGCGCCGGCCGCCCCATGGCAGCCCCTTTTCGGGGGAGGACCTCTCCTCCCCATTCTCCTTCTCGGGTAAGGCGCACCAGGAACACAAGGCACGCCCCCCTTCACGGCCTCCAACTTCACTTGCATATCGGCCCCCCCGAGTCCGATACGCGGAGGCCATAGGGCCAGGAAAATCGAGGGATTAGTAGCACCTGCTTTCCCGACCCCAGCGGCGGATCTGGTCTCAGGCTCTGCCGCCAACCAAGTTTCGGTCGCGGAGGGTAGGGAGAACGGTACCTCGCAATACCGACACTCCTCTCCCCCGCGGCCCCAACACCACCGCATCAACGGTGCGGCCCCGTCGGAGTCGCGGAGGATAGGGCGAGTGGCGCATTGCCATACCAACACTCCTCTTCCTCCGCGAGTCTTTCTCGGCTGCAGCGACAGGGGGAGAAGACATCCCTTCCACCACAGCCCACCGACACACATCCGAAGTAGGCTCGCCAAGCCCACTCGGAGTGGCCACCTCGGGCCGGCCCTACACCACGGGCTAGCCAAGGTGTTCCTCTTTGTTCACCGCGGGTGACCAAGCCACGGCTACTAAGCCCCCCCGCCGCAACAAGGCGGGAATCCGTTCGGGGAGGGGGGGGGGTCCATAGACACCTACATGTCCTCCATTAAGAGTCAAAATGTAGATGCATTGTCATCTCTGAGGTCTACAATTTACACTCATTGTAAAAAACAACATTATTATGGTTATTCCATTATATTACCAGAAGTTATTATCTATTATGTTATATAGGTTGGGCCATGTGTTAGTCCTTTTTCATCTTTAAATAACACACATTTTGAGATGAAAAGTAATTTTTTTAAATTGACAATGAAATGTGGTTCTATGCCATTTATGCATACGTGGTAGAGCCATGCTGCAGCTATATTAATAGTATAGTTGTAGCACGAATGGGTCGGCTCGACTGGGGAAGGACCACTGCTCACAGGATACCAGCGTAAAATAGCAGCTTAACGCTGCTGTGTTTCGTATGGTGAGTGTAGAGAACCGGAGACCCTTTTTACTGGAAAAGAGGCATTCTATCTTAGTCCTCACGGCTGACAACGCATCTGCATTTTAATTCGCAAACAAAGATAGATGCAGATGTCAATGGGCTGCAGCAACCACTTACCATCAGGTGGACTGTGTGCTCGTTTGTCATCCTTATTCTATAAAAAAAACAATATCGTTCATATGCCCCACCACGGTTTTGTCTACAAGCCTGCATCCGAACATCAAAATATTCGATGACTTTTTCCAATTAAATCGGATCATTGACCTCAATTTCAGCTCGAATGTTGTTTTTAAGTTGTTTAATTGTTTGTGGATGATTAACATACACCTTACCTTTCTAATAACCCCACAAAAAATAATCAAGTTGTATTAAACCCGAGCTTCTTGGTGGCCAAGGAACTTTAGAATTTCTTGAAATTATGCGATCAGTAAATTTTGTTGACAAATAAATTAAGTGTTGTATATACTTTTAGTAGTATAATAAATCTTGTTAAACAATTCTTTTTGATAGATAGGTCCTGCATATTTTCTGAGACTTTGTTGTAATAGCGTATCACATTGCCGCATGAAGGAATCTTTCAAGTCGAGTAACTGGAAAAGTGTAGCATTTAACAATGAGGGAATTCGCGACTTTATTGTCACTAGGGCGGTGCCACGTAGGATTTAGGTGAAATATTTGACAGATGTAAGGGTTAATGTTTCTTTCTTTAATAATATTTATATTTGGTATAATTTAGATTAGAAATGGGTAAACCAAATTACGAATGTTCCTAAAATAGTTAATGAATATGAAAAATATTAAGGACCAGACCACTGAGTTTATGTATTTCTAATAATAATTCATTTATCTATATAAATAAAATGACAGTGGTTTGCAGTAATGCGCGCATCACGAAAAAACTGCTGGATAAATTTCAATTAGGTTTTCTAAGTTTTATTTCTTAGTTCAAGAAACAACAATATTTATAAACACTATGTGTTCAATGATGTGTGTTTTCTTGATATATCAAGCAAAGCGGACGAAGTCGCGGGTATCAGCTAGTATAAAATATAACTAATGTTTCAGAAAGGAACATTAACTTACACACAATGCAATCTGTCAAATATTTCACCTCATTCCAAAGTGGTGCCGCCCTGGTGGCAGAAAAGGTGGTGGATGCTCTCGTTAAAGGTGTGGTACTGTGGTCCCGCAGCGCCGATCCTGGCGGACGGGCACCAGGTGCGGTACTTCGAGTTCGTGGACTTCGAGCGCAAGTTCGAGGAGTGCATCAGCCAGTCGGCCGTGCGCACCAAGTTCGCGCAGCACTCGCGCCGCGGCAAGAACATCGCCGCAGACGTCATGGCCGCACTCGACCAGGTCACCAATACACAATTTCTATCAACCCACATACTGAGTATTAACTGCTCGTTCAATAATTGTCTTAATTATTTCAATGTATAACCAGTGCACTCAAATGTCTTTAAGTCAATTTTTAGTATAGTCTCCATATTTTACTCATGAAATTATATTTAAAAAAAAAACCAACAATTTTACTATTCCTTTTTTTTGCTTTAGTAATGGACTCGGACGGTTGTACTTTTGCCTGTGTCAAGTAATAGGAAATTATTCTTTAAAATAATCTATGCAAAAACTTCCCCACAATATAATGATGTTTTTGACGATTGTATGTTTTTATTGTATGTATGTTACGCGATATCTCCACAGACTGTGAACCAATTTTGATGATAATATAAACTTTATAAACTTAACAATATAAACTTGGAGAATTCCAAGAAAATTTGTTTTGCTATTTGAAATCGGTTTTTACTTTTTGTTAAAAGTTATAATTATTTGTTTCACGAGTGTTGGTAAGGGAAGTGTAGGGCGGCGCCTCACTAGATGTAGTAACGACCTGGTAAAAGATGCAGGAAGGTTAGTACGAGGGTGGATTGAAAAGTACTCGGCCTAACACAGATCCATTCAATTCTAAAAATCAAATCTACCCACATTATTTAGTTCAGTTCAGACTAGTTCATTGTGTGAAGTTCGAAACGTGTGCGATAATTAGTTGTGATTTTATAAATTTATTAACAAAGTAATCGGACATAATTTCCGCGAAAGGAGCAAATCGAGCAGCGTGCCGTCATTAAGTACCTCCATAAGAAGGGGCTATCATCAAAAGCCATCCATGATGACATGGTCAGTACATTAGGCGATTGTGCTCTGTCATATTCATCCGTCAAAAAATGGATAGCAGAATTTAAGCGTGATAGAGAGAGTGTGAAAGATGAACCCCGCTCTGGAAGGCCTTCGACGTCAACTACTGACGAAAATATTAAAAAAGTACTTGATTTAATAATGGGAGACCGCAGATTAAAAATTAGAGAGATAGCCGAGATTATAGGCATCTCTTATGAACGAACTCAAAACATCATTGTCAACGAGTTGGGTTTCCACAAGGTGTCTGCGAGGTGGGTTCCGCGACTGCTTTCAGTTGAACAAAAAAGGACGCGATTGACTATTTCACGCGACTGTTTGGAGTTATTTGAAGCTGATGCAGATGATTTTTTGAATCGTTTTGTTACTATGGACGAAACATGGGTTCATTACTGTACACCGGAAACAAAACAACAATCAAAACAGTGGAGAAGACCTGGTTCACCACCCCCTAAAAAGGCTAAGTCGATTTTGTCGGCAAATAAGGTGATGGCTTCAGTATTCTGGGACTCGAAAGGTGTGATTATGAATGATTATCTTGAAAGGGGTCAGAATATAAACTCTGATTACTACTGCACCTTACTACGTCGTTTACGAGAGGAAATAAAAGAAAAACGTCGAGGAATGCTCAGAAGAAAAGTCCTGTTTCATCAAGATACCGCCCGTGTTCACACGTCAGTACAGTCAATGGCTGAAATTCACAACTGTGGCTTTGAACTGTTACCGCATCCGCCGTATTCACCTGATCTGGCACCATCAGACTTCTTTCTGTTCCCTAACCTAAAAAAGCACTTGGGAGGTCAAAGATTTTCGACAAACGACGAGGTCAAAGCAGCTGTAGACGCATATTTTGACTCTAAGGAAGAATCATTTTTTTTCAACGGTCTAAATGCTTGGAAGGGGAGGTGGCAAAAGTGTATTGAACTTGATGGTGATTATGTAGAAAAATAAAAATATAACTGATTTAGTATTTGTTTATTTTCTTGGTTAGGCCGAGTACTTTTCAATCCACCCTCGTATGTTCGGTAGTGGACCTATGGAGGGCTGCAATGATGATGACAATTGTTCCATTATTTTAATAAATTGCGTATACATTCCAGGTGTACAACAAGGCCAGCGACATGAAGTCGAGCAAGGTGGAGAAGCAGCGCGTGCTGCACGAGCAGCTGTCGGCCGTCGAGGAGCAGCTCACCGCCATCACGCGCCAGATGAAGGACAAGATCGGACGCATGGTCGAGAGCGTCGAACACAAGGTTCAAATATTTTATCAACCCTCAGAGCCAACTGTTAGATATAAATTATAGTGCCTCTCAAAACATGCATTAACTGACCTATGCTCACCAGCTCACCATACTATGCAGTAGGATGGTTAGTAAGACGCAGATATTAATTAAACGCTCATATATGAAAGATATACATAATAAAACATGCTTGTTGCAAGGTGTAATGCAGCTAGTTTTGCCGAGCCAATGTTTTTTCGAGAGTATGGTAATTTGTCTACATTGAAATTTCATTGGATTGAAATGAGGGCTAATAATTTTCTGCTCACCAGATGTCGCTAGCTGACACTGAGGCAAAGTTTTTTGTTACACAATCTCATTCAATTGAGTAGTTAGTTTTTAATAAAAGTTTATCAGTATTATATTAATACACAAAACAATGCCTCAGTGGTTTGCTCTTTAATTTTTTGGACATTTTTAACTTTTTCTTAATTTTTCTACTCTTATGAATATCTGTGGTGAGGTTTATTTATTTTTAATTAATTTAAAAAATCTTATTAATATAAAATAAAGAAACATCAAACTTTACATTTTCCGAACAAATTAACTTCCCCGCTATATAATCTGTCAAATATTATACTTCACTTTTAAGTGGCGCCGCTCTGGTGGTGTGTTTTTGTTTTTTTTTTTTTAAAAAACGTTACCCCCACCCTAGCATTTTCTCCTGTATCGTGGAGGCAGTTTACAAACATAGATTGCACGAGGACAAACATCCAGACCCAGAACAATTATTTGTAGACCACACAAATACTTCTGCCGTGCGGGATTCGAACCTGCGGCCCCTAGTTCATCAAATCATTGCTAAGCCACTGCGCCACGGAGCCGTCAAAATTGAAATTGTTATTGGATTCAAGAGTAAGGTTGTTGGTAAGGTTGCAAATTACTCACCGCGTCGACGCCTAGATTATATTCTATTTCTTGTTCGCTTTGTAAGAATTTTTCGTCACAAGAAGACAACTTTAATTTTACACTTTCCGCATCACGATTCGGCACGTTTAACGTTAAAGTCAGAAAAAAAAAGTTTCTTTCTGAAATATTAGTTTTATTTTAAATTAATTAGATTGACCGATTGCGTTTATCACTGGCGATTTTTCCGAACCGATACAACTTAAGGACCTTCAAAAAACGCTTACTCCCTTTTAAAAGGCCGACAACGCACCTGCAATGCCTTTGGTGTTGCAGTTGTTGTGGACACTTTCCACCAAAATTATGGATAAACCAAACTAATCTAAGTCAGGAAAAGAGAGTTATGTGATAGAAATAAGTGAATATAGTAGTAGGCACTATAGTCCTTTGCAGCCTGAATTGTACTTTATCTTATTATCTACTTTATCTAAATGTTTTTCCGGAGTAATACTTCTGTACCTTGTACTATTAAGTATTGATTGTGGTCGTAAACGTGACTACTGATTGTGGTCCTGAATTAATTCCGGGTCGGACCAAACTCAGCTATTGGGTTTTTCTGTGAAGAAATATTCAGTAGAAGCCCGGAGTCAGGAAGTTGGCGGTGCTTCACCCCCGTGCCTCGGAAAGCAGGTACCTTTTGGCAACCGGGCCTTAAGTGATTTGTGTGTGCAGGTGTCGCTGACGCTGAGCCAGGAGATCCGGCGGCTGTCGGCGCTGGTGGACGAGTACGACGCGCCGTTCCGCGCGGAGCGCGCGGCGCTGGAGCAGTACAAGCGCGCGCTGCACCGCCACGTCGAGGCCGGCCTCGGCTCGCGCCTCAAGAAGCGCCTCTCCTCCGACATCGGACACGAGATGGACGCCGTGCAGAAGGAAATGGCCGGTGCCTATGTTTATTTATTATATATTTTACGTAGTAGAGCCATGCTGCAGCTATATTAATAGTTTAGTTGTAGCACGAATGGGTCGGCTTGACCGGGGAAGGACCACAATCACAGAATACCTGCGTAAAATAGCAGCTCAACGTTGCTGTTTCGTATGGTGAGTGTAGAGAACCGGAAACTCACGGGTGAAAACGCTTCTGCATTTTGATTCGTAATCGAGGATAGATGTAGATATCTATGGGCCACAGCAGTTACTTACCATTAGATTGCCTCTGTGCTCGCTTGTCACTCTAATCCTATAAAAAAAATATATGGACAACAAAACAAATAACAATCAAATAACATTAAAAAAAACACATAAAAGTTTTGTACCGAATTGTTATTCTAAATATGTTAACACATCATTTTTATATTTATTACAAGAGAAAACTCTTCGCTTTACAATATTTATGACATACATAACTACATAATACAACAAATTAAATTTAAAACCTATGTGTCTCGTATTAGACATTATCGTAAACACGGAGTCTAAATAAATATTCAATATATTTGCAAGTTCACGCTTTTGAGATATAAAATAGGTGAGAGTGATGTTTGTTAGAAGATGAAATAACGATTTGTGTGTTGAAATAGGGGGACAAAAATTACACTAGCAGTAATGCTTTAAACAATCTAATTATATCAAAAAGTGGGCCGATGTGTTGCTCAATAAAAGCGTTAGGCGCCGATACTATGTGATATGGAAATGAATGTGTATGTCTAAGCTGTCGCTTTTACAACAAAATCCCAGAAAAGATACAAAATTTGACCTGCTCGAAGTTCAAAAACTTTATTAAACAAAGTTTGCATAAAAAGAGTTATTATAATATTGAGGAATTTATGGATGATAATAAACCCTGGGAATGAGGTGATCACTCCCAAGCTATTTCTAATTTGTTTTGTGTTGTTAATTGTGTAACATACATGATTTTAAGCTGTTATTTAAAAAAAAGTCCCACTGGGTTTCTTGCTTCCCAGTACAAAGGTTTTTTTTTTAGAACCAGTGTTAATTAAACAAAAGAGTGACTTTTAATAAGTATTATCTATAATCTATATTGAATAAAAAAGTTTCTGTTTCTGCTGTTTTACTGCATTTTTGGATATCCTGGATCTTTGGTCAAAAATATCCAAGCCGGAGCTTTTCAACTTTTCATGGATACCGTTACTGTTACAGCTTATTGAAGTCTACCGCTGTACATAGGCCTCCCCATAAATTGCCTCTAAGGGGGTATATTTGTCATAGTTGCCACGCTTGCCAAAGTGGTTGGCAACCGCAGTTTGTAATTTTAAGTCGTTGTTATTAGGAAGACGCTGCTGCCCATCTCCTAGTTTGTTTCGCTCATATAAAGTAGTTGATATTCTAACACCGCCACTACACGGCTTTTGCTGTTAATTATGGACAATTTGCCTTAACGTATTGTTACCTCAACCAGTTGCGTGTTGCATCACGTTGTACGAGAAAGTTTCCTAAAATAGAGGTTCAAGCACCTCTGTTAAGGTAATAAAATGTGTAGGCACAGAAAGACAACGCTCAAACTATATAAAGTATATGAAGCCTTTTCTCCTTTAGATATTTTTTTTATTGTTAATCGCGGGTGTTCTAGTACCTTCCGATGGAAAGATTGGAATGATCCGGATTGACCTAGAATGTTAAACATTCCTCCTTTTGGATATGAATGCGTGTGCTGGCGATCGAATAATTAGTTAATAAAACCCAATAATTGACTTTAGAACGACCCAGTATAAGAACCCAGAATACAACCCACAACGACCACTAAACCAAGTAGACAGTCAAAAGGGATATCATGTAGTATCTGCTGGCTGCAGGTGCCTGTAGCAAGTGGTATACCATTAGTGAGACTTGCTTGTCACTATTGTTATGAAAACTTACCATACTTTATTTCAGAACGAATGTACAACATCCTGCCACCGCACAAGCGAGCGGCAGCTGCCAACTACATCGTCCCTCACCAGCAACCCTTCGAAGTATTGTATCGGTTGAATTGTGACAACCTGTGTGCGGACTTCCAGGAGGATCTATCGTTTAGGTTTTCCTATGGAATCACTGCACTCATTCAGCGCTTCCAGGGAAAGAACACCAACAAAATTGCACTAAAGAACCCACCACAGTACACTCCGGTATGTATTTTCATTTAGAAGTAAAGTTTACATATATCTCAATGTGAGGGTTAGTTTTTGCTATTAATAAATTAAGCAATATTAAAGACATTAAGTATGTGTTGGGAGATTACGACATGTACACCTCAAAGTATGTATACCTCAAAACTTGAAAACAAGATTGTACAACCAGTGTGTGTTGCCAGTGATGACTTATAGATCTGACACGTCGTCCTTCACTGCTGGCCGTTCGAAGACGCTCAAGGTCGTTCAGCGAGCTATAGAGAGGGCTATGCTCAGGGTTTCTCTGATAAACATAGAAATGAGGATATCCGCAGTAGAACCAGAGTACCGAACATAGCTCGGATATGTAAGCTGAATTGGTAATGGCCCGGCCATTTTTTCTGCTACTATTAGTATTTATAAATCTGTTTATCATAAAATATCATATTTCATGTATTATATTTAATCCATGTGTTCAATTGAATATAACAGAATTGTTAATTTTGAAATATTTATTGCCCGATTTCCATTTCTTTTACAGATTATGTTTAACTGATTATATTACGGACTGTGTGTGTAGTGGTAGTGTATCTTCTACCCCATAACGTTTAGTGGATGTCGTGAGAAGCGACAGGGAAACAAACAAGAGATCGGCATAAGCATCTTGCTATTGACTAGTAAATAAAAAAAACTGCACTTGCCAACTCGCCTGTTGAGCATGGCAACTATGGCAAATATTTGTCAATTCACAAGTGGTAAAATTGAAAATTTTTTCACAACCGACTTCAATATCAATAATTTATTGCTGATTTTTTAAAAACCGCTAGATCGATTTCGATAAAATTTAAATCACTCTCTAATCACTTTGAAACAAGAAAAACAATTTTCCAAATCGGTTCAGGCATCTTCGAGTAATCGGTGAACATATATAAAAAAAAAGATTCGGATGAATTGGGAATTTCCTTCTTTTTGAAGTCGGTTGAAAAATATTAGCAATTTATGAGGAGGTCTACGTTCAGCAGTTTGATAGGCTATAATTATGATGATGATTGTGGAGTATTCAAATGATAGCTGTTTTGTTGCTCTAATGGTTTTTATATAAGGGTGACAAATGAGCAACTAGTTCACTTGATGGTAAGTGAGTGTTTTAACTTTGTTATATACGATGCAAGTCTATACGGCCACATATAGATTCATGCATATTATGGTTGCAGTATGATTGGATCAGCTTGAACGGGTAATGACCAAACTCACAGAACACCCAAGTGAAATAGCAACATAATCTGTTTTGTATGGGTAGTGGCGAGAATCAGAGATCTTGTATACTGGTAACAAGGCATTTTAACTTGGGCTATGTATTTGCATTTCCAAATTGCAGATGTGTTGTCAAAATTCTTAATCGAAGATATATATAATTTGCTGCTCACTTGCTTGCCACATTAGGTTTTAAAGAAAAAGGAGTGCTTAGGTTTATATTGAATATTTATTTATTTTTATTTACCCTTTATTGTACACCAAAATACAAAATAACGAGTACTGTAAAATCTAAAGTAGAATATGTACAACAGGCAGGCGGTCTTATGAACTCTGAAAGTGATGTCCAGACAACCTTAGCATAGAGAGCTGATGCAAACAATAGTTAAAAATAGAGGGGGGCGTACAAAATAAAAATAAAAATATGAAAATACATATCAATAAAGATGAGTAAAGATTATGTATGTTATGATATCATATAATAGATTAAATGAAAAGAGTACGAAAAAGAAAAAGTAATTTATCAAATAGCGTTCTAAGTAATACGATTTAACAAGAAAATGTATGTGTTCAGATGGCGGCGACAATAGGCCCCCCAGCGGTGGGTGCGGAGGTGGTGCGGCACAACGGTGGCAGCGCAGCCGGCGTGGGCCCGCTCAGCGCCGAGGAGTGGGGGCTGGTGTCCCGCTTTGCACTGGGCGCGCTCACTTCACAGGGCACCATGGGAGCCCTGCTGCTCTCCGGACTGGTATATACAATTTTTCACTTTGCAATAACGCACCAAGAATTAAGTGTGTGAGAGAAAATATAGACACTTGTTTCCTAATTTAAACCTATGTGTATTCTTCAAAATAACGAATGGTTTTCTAATAATGTTCATGATTAATTAGTTTTATTATTATTATCATCTTCATTACAGTCTTTCACAAGCCCACTGCAGAACATAGGCCTTCTCTGTAGAACAAAAAAATATATTACATAAGGTAAACATAAAAATAAATTTCAGCTAAACCAAGACCAGTGTAAGAATATCCACTAACCCATATCATCCAGTGGTTGTCGTAAGAGGCGACAGAGGGAAACAAATCAAGATAGGGGCAGCAGCGTCTTTCTAATTATGACTAAAAATAAATAATAAACTGCGGATACTAACTCGCTTGTCGAGTGTGGCAACTATTGCAAATATCCCACCTATGAGGGAAATCTATCAACAGTAGCAGTGGACTTTAGTAGGTTGTTACAAAAGCAATCTATGGAGACGCCTATGTTCAGTGGAATTTTGTTATGCTGTGATGATGGCAACAGAAACTTTTTTATTCAATATAGATTATAAATAATATTTACTGAAAGTCACTCTTTTGTTTGATTACCACTGGTTCGAAAAAAAAGCCTCTGTTCTGAGAAGAACCGGCAAGAAACCCAGCGGGACTTTATAAATATTATTAATTTTAGTTCACCTTCAATTGAATTTCTTAGGGGTTTTAAGGCTTCAGCTTCTTCATCGTTCTGGCGATAGCCGATCAAACGGCTTCGGCTTTTGCAGGAAGAGTGTTGATTGATGTAATGGTTGATTGATGTACTGTGTGGGGCGGTGCAGCTGCTGAAGACGGTGGGGTGGCGCGTGGTGCTGGCGACGGGCGCGCTGTACGGCGCGCTGTACGCGTACGAGCGCCTCACGTGGACGGCCAAGGCGCAGGAGCGCCTCTTCAAGAAGCAGTACGTGGCGCACGCCGGCAAGAAGCTGCGCCTCATCGTCGACCTCACCTCCGCCAACTGCAGCCATCAAGTGCAACAGTTAGTGCACTCCCATTTCTCTTATATAACTATGACATACGACCACACAGTCCACCTGATAGTAAGTGGATGCTGTGGTTCATAGACACAAGTACATGTATCTTTGATTAAGAATCAAATTGCAAATGGTTTGCCACCCCTGCGAACTGAGATAGAATGCCTCGTTTCCAGTAGAAAGAATGTCCAGTTTCTCTACACTGAAATATGAATATCCATATAAAATACAATAGCATTTAGCCAGCTAAATGCTATTGTATATATATACATAATAAGTACCAGCATTTAGCTGGTACTTATTATGTTGGTATTCTGTAAGAGCGCGGTCCTAACCTGGTTGAACCAACCCACTCGTGCTACAACCAAAATATAGGTGCAGCGTGACTCTATCACGTAGTTATCCTATAATTCTATTTCTCTGGACCAACCGTCTAATGGTCGATAACGCAGTTGCTGATCATGAGATCCTGGGTTGGAATCCCGTTAAGGACCAAAATCAGTTTTGCAATCGGTCTTCCTGTCAAGAAATGCTCAATAACAACCCGGAGTCAGGCCGTTGGCAACATTTCAACCCGTGCCTCGAAAAACACTTAAAGCCATTAGTCCTGCACCTCTCTCTGGTCGTGTGGGTTTGCTGTTCCATCGGACTATGATTGTGCATCTTTACTTGTGCTTACACTCGGGCACTACGACCAAAATGCAATCTGCAGGACATTATTATACTTCTATTGAGGTAAACCGAGGATGTCCTCCCTCAAATGACGAGAATAGTAGTTAAAATGAAATGAATAATAATAAAAGTGAAAAATACTGTTTTTAATGTTAATTTATACATACTTAATTAAAAATGATCATTAAAGTACATGTATACTTAGGTCATTGAGTGAAAAGAGAGAGAGAGAGAGAGAGAGAGAGAGAGACAAAGAGAGAGAGAGAACATCAGCTATATACCAGTGAAAGTCCGGTCAAAATCGGTCTAGCCATTTCGGAGATTAGCCGGAACAAACAGACAGACAGACAAAAAATTTTAATTTTTTTTTTGTAATAAATAACTACCGTAAGTACTTTCATACAAATTTAGTAAAAAGCTGTTATTTTGACAGACATACCAATTTCATTTATTTGTATAGTTTAGGAAGACGCTGCTGCTCATCTCCTGGTTTGTTTCGCTCTGTCATCTCTTACCACACCCACAGGATGATATGGGGTAGTGGATGTTCTTACACGGTACCGCCTCTACACGGTAAACGGCACCATCGTGCATTTAATTAGCTAATGGCCAAATACTCAAACGCTACTCAATTTTAAGATGTCTTCAAGGTTCGTGGTGTTACTGTCACTTTGACTTAAAGTGATACAGACAGCACGAGACTAAATATATAATTGTTCTGTTCATGTGTATGTGACTGAACTATTTCTAAACGGCTGGATCGATTTTGATGAAATTTCGTGTGTGATTAAGTTGATTCGAGAATGGTTTAGATTCACAATTGGACTCGGTAGGTGGCGCTGTTATCGAAATCCAGAAATCACCCGTGCGAAACCGGGGCGTATCGCTAGTAGATATATATAATTAAATTTTTCGTCAATGTTTATACGTAACAACTGCTTGCAAACTAGATAAATATAATAATTTGAGCGTATTGATGTCAACCAGGGAACTGTCGACGATGTTCGCCCGCCTGTGCCGGCTCATCGACGAGGCGACCACGGAGATGGACACGGAGCTGTCGGAGGTGCGCGAGGCCATCAAGATGCTGGAGGACGCCTCCACCTCGGCCAAGAAGCTGCGCAACAAGGCCAACTACCTCAGCCACGAGCTCGAGCTGTTCGACGACGCCTTCCTCAAGCACAACTAGACTAATTGAAGACTGTCGGTGAGTAGATGCATGGGATTTATTTATTAAATTGTAGTTACGAGGGTTACAATGAAAGTTCTTAGAAAATCAAAAACTGAACAAACTAGAGCAAGTTATTAGTTTTATTATATCTTTTCAAAATAATATCCATTTACATCAATACATTGCTGCATCCGATGGAACCACTGAGAAAAGCACTTTGCCCACTCGTTCTTAGTGGTCTGTTCGATGGCATTTTGAAACGTCCATAAAACGTTTTACTCGAAATTTTTCTTTTATTTTCGGAAATAAATAAAAATCGCAAGGTGCGAGGTCGAGGCTATAGGGCGGGTGACCCAGTACTTCCACGTCCGACGTCGCCAAGTAGTCGATTGTTTGCTTGGCGGTGTGCGACGAGGTGTCGTGGTGAAGGAGGATCCTACTGCGAGGTCGTTTCTCCCGAACTTTTGCCTAGACAAGAGGCAAACAATTGTTAGTAGTTAGTAGTGGTACCACTCTGCAGTAACTGTTTTTCGATCCTCTAAAACAATTGTTGCGTAATGACCTGTCCTTCCGAAGAACGAGGCCACCATCTTTTTTCCCACGCTTCGGCCTCTTCACTTTAGTTGGCAACTCAGCCAGACAGCAGACTGTCTCATAGTGTCGGGATCATAACAATAAATCCAGCTTTTGTCACCGTATGTCGAACACAGCATTTGAGTAACCTCCGTTAAATCTTTGAACCATTTCACGACACCAATCCACACGACGGAGTTTTTAGGCCACTGTCAAATTATGAGGTATCCACCGAACACAAAGCTTCCTAATCGCTAAATGTTCATGGAGGATTTTGTGCACTTGACTCATACCAATTCTTTTTTATAGGAGAGGGGGCAAACGAGCATGCGGCTCACCTGATGGTAAGTGACTACCGCCGCCCATGAACAACTGCAACACCAGGGGAATCGCAGATGCGTTGCCGGCCTTTTAAAAAGGAGTAGGCTCTTTTCTTGAAGGTCCCTAAGTCGTATCGGTCCGGAAAAATCGCTGATGGTAATAGATTCCACAAGGAAGTCGTGCGAGGAAGAAAACATCTTCTAAATCGCACAGTGGTGGACCGCCAATCATCCAGATGGTGTGGATGGTATCGGGAGTTCTGCCGCGATGTGCGTTCATGAAATATGGCGGCTGGGATTAATCCGAACAATTCCTCAGAGCACTCCCTGTGGTGGATGCGAAAGAAAATGCAAAGTGATGCAACATTTCTTCGCAGTGCCAATGAATCGAGCCGATCGGAAAGGACTCGGTCGTCGACGATTCGAACCGCTCTGCGCTGGATGCGGTCAAGTGGAAGGAGCTGGCACTGGAGAGCCCCTGCCGAGAGATGGGAACAGTATTCCATGTGAGGCCGAACCTGCGCCTTGTAAAGTTGCAGGTGGTGTGCCCGCATGAAATACTGTCCCGCACTGCTGAGCACGCCAAGCTTTTTAGAGGCCAATTTGGCCTTCTCTTCCAAGTGACCACGAAACTGCACGTCACTCGATATGTCGACTTCGAGGATTCAGATACTGGCTGAGGCAACAAGGGAGTACCTTGAAACTGAGGACATACGACAAAGGGGTTCTTTTTAGCAGTAAACGCGCAAACTTGTGTCTTCTGAGGATTAAACTGGACTAAATTTAATCGCCCCTAATCCGAGACTTTGTTCAGCAAAGACTCGACTTCAGACATAAGTTTGTTCCGGTACTCAGCAACGTTTTCCCGAGAAATATGTGAGTAAAATGGCACGGCCGGTGTATAAAGCATCACCAGTGCTGTCATCCGCATAGCAATGAATGTTACCAGTTAGCATCATATCATTGATATGCAGAAGAAACGGCGTTGGTGATAGCACGCAGCCTTGTGCAACACCAGCGTTAATAGGCTTGTAGTCGGAGCATGCACCGTCTACAACGAACTTGATGCTCCGAACTGCAAGGAAGCTGGTGATCCAATTGCACAATTTCTCGGGAAGCCCATATGAAGGGAGTTTCGAAAGAAGCGCTTTGTGCCAAACCCGATCGAAGGCCTTCGCAATGTCCAAACTAACGGCCAACGCCTCCCCCTTGGACTCTACTGCCTCCGCCCATCTATGGGTCAGGTAGACCAGAAGATCACCAGCTGATCGACCCCGACGAAAACCGTATTGGCGGTCACTAATCAGCTGGTGATCCTCAAGGTACCGCATGAGCTGGCAGTTAATAATGGATTCCATTATTTTAGAGAACAAGGAGGTGATGGCGATAGGCCTATAGTTGACGGGTCTGAGCGGTCGCCTTTTTTTAGGGATTGGGTGGACAAAAGCTGTCTTCCATGAATTCGGGACTACGCCTTGGGAGTAGGAGTACCGGAAAAGACGCGTTAGGACCGGTGCCAACTCCGTAGCACACGTCCTCAGCACAATTGGGGGGATTCCGTCAGGCCCACTCGACTTCTGGATGTCCAGGGAGAGCAGTGCTTTGCGAACCGAGCGCTGCGAGAACAGCACATCCGGCATGGAGCACTCACACCGCGGGATAGTCACTCACACCGCGGGATGGTCGGCGGTGTTTTCCCCCGTCATCGAGAGTCGAGTTGGACGCAAAAAGGCAGCCTAAAAGGTCGGCTTTGTCTTTTGCGGCTTGGGCCAGTGAGTCGTCCTCCCTGTGCAGAGACGGTAGTGATGGCTTACAGAAATATCCTTGGACAGCCTTGGCGAGAGACCAGAATGCACGGGTTCCCGAAGGAAGGCGAACTAGTTTCTCGCCAATTCTGCCTATGTGCTCTGACTTTGCCTTGGCAATAACTCTTTTGAAGGACCTGGAGGCGAAGTTATACTTCTTTTTAAGTGTGCTGGTGTTTACATCCCAAGTCGCCGAAGCCGCAGCCCAGGCTTGATAACACTCCTGCTTACTGCGTAATGCAGTCTTACAGGAGCGAGCAAACCAAGGCTGAGATCTACCTCCGATGGGTACCACAGATGATGGAATAAATAGTTCCATTCCCTGTAGCACCACATCAGTGACAGAGTCAGCAACAGCGCTGGGATCATCCGGCGAGAAGCAAACCCGCCCGCTTTACAAAGAAAGACCGCATTCCGTCCCAATCCGCCGACCTGTAATGCCACACACGGCGGCAACCTGCAGAACGCAACCGCGAGGGGAGCGTGAGTGGCACCACACTCCGGATCAGACAATGGTCCGAAGAGCCGAGAAGGGCATCGACGGAAACCTGATATCCGTCCGGATGAGAGGTCAGCAGAAGGTCCAACAGGGAAGGTGTATGATCCTCCACATCTGAAATCCGCGTAGGCGAAGTAACCAGTTGTGTCAGACCATATGCCAAGGCAAAGTCATAAACAGATCTCGCCGCATGATCGGTTAAACGTGAACCGAGCCATTCGGCGTGGTGGGCGTTAAAATCGCCAAGGATCACGATCTCTGCGAATGAGACCTGTTGTAGCAAGGAATCTGTAGCCACGTGGTCGATGAGTCGGTCTGTTTCGGCACCTATAGAGGCACCCGTAGACGCGCGGATGGTCGTCGCTGTCTACGCGTAGCCAAAGGATGGTCAGATCCGAACCTTCAAGACTGCCGAGGCGTCGAGAACAGATGTGCTCTCTGACATACACGCAAACTCCGGCCCGAGGCACAAAGGAGTGCTCCAATTTGTACCCCGGGTAGGAGATATACGAAGTATCAGCCGGAGAGGACACCTGCGTCTCGGTCAGAAAGAGTAAGGCCGGCTTCGCCGTCTCGAGATTGTAGTGGACGGCGTTTAGGTTCGAGTGAAGTCCCCTGATGTTGCAGAAATTCACGGATAGCGTGGCAGGGGTCGCGTTGGTATTGTTGCTCAGTTTGCCCTGAGCAGTTATGTTTTTGAGCGGAATTTTGCCCCCCCCCCCCCCCCAGAATACGCGGGGCAGCCTGAGCACCCACGCTCAAGAGTGGAATAACATGGTCGTGGATGCTCAGCGAGGGATTCTCCAGGGGTGCTGGTACCCTCCTGGGGTAGTTGCTGGGTAGTCTTTCGTGTAATTCCGCTACCATGTTGTTGGGGCTGGGGGGTAGGGGGTGGATTGGGCCTCCGGCCACAGCACTCATCAGACGAAACGCAGAAGCAGAGCTTCTACTTCACGCCGGTATTCTGTGAGGTCGTGGTACCAACCCGGCTCGAGCCGGCCCATACGTGCAACAGCAAAACCTGCCTCGTGGCTCTACCACCGTTAAAATGCCTAAGCTTGTCCGAATCTGCTGAGAAGTCACTCTTTTGTCAGTCTCTATCATACGCCGCACAACACTGATTTTGTCTTCAGTTGTCGCCGTAGAAGGCCGCAGATCATCGGTGAGATTAGTGCGACCACGTTTCAATTCATTAAACCAGTTGTAAACAGTGGCATGAGATGGGGTTTCATGGTGAAAGGCCAATCGAAGTCTATCATAACTTTCTTGGTGACTTTATGACATCGAAAGTCATAAAAAATAATTGAAAGAAAATTTTCTCGCGTTAAATTCATGCTGACGTGACGCCAAATCGTAAACAAATGACAAATTAATAAAATACATACACAATAATATTGGCAGAGTTCCATTTTCCAAATTTGGCGCTCTGATCATTAATAAAATAATAAAGAAAGAAGGCCCTGATCATTAAAAAAATATTACAGATATGTAGTCACCTCTGGCGAGGATTAAGATGGAATGTCTTGCAGCCTGTAATTGTTTTGCTATCCATACCCTCTAAACCGAAATACAACAGTGAGGCTTTACAATGTAACATTTGTGAGCACCACGTAACAGTTAATTCACATCTCTGTTTGGTCTTTAACACTCCAGATTTTCGAAGTGTTAATCGTGTATGTGACTGAACTAGACGTCTGCACCGATTTTGAGAAAATTTTGTGTATGATTAAGTTGATTCGATAATAGTTTAGATTCACAATTGGACCCGGTAGGTATACAACGGATCGCTAGTTATACAACACGTAACATAATTAACGCACATCCTAAAAGTAGTTTGTTTTGAATCGTTTACTAAATCGATTTCTATCATTTTTAATATAGGTAATTTTTTATCCCAAAAATAATTGAATATACGTAATTTACACACTAAACCTGTACAGTCAAAACAAACTGAAATGGACCGTAACTTAAGGCAATAAGACTTAAAAGTGCAGTTTTATTAGTATTAATTACAAATTCCCTCATTCAATACAAAATAAAGAAAATTGAACCTTATTTAAAGTGTGTGAAAGTCTTTACAAATAGAGAGTTCGGAGTGCCTTATAAAGATCGCGGAGGCTAGGCCATTGACCTCCCAGATCAGCTTTTTTTTTTTTTTTATAAGATAAGGGTGACAAACGAGCACACAGTCCACCTGATGGTAAGTGGTTGCTGCGGCCCATAGACATCTACATCTATCCTCGTTTGCGAATCAAAATGCAGATGCGTTGTCACCCGTGAGGACTAAGATGGAATGCCTCATTTCCAGTAAAAAGGGCCTCCGGCCACCTGCACTCACCAAGCGAAACGCAGAGGTAAACCTCTACTTCACGTTGGTATTCTGTGAGGTCGTGGTACCACCCCGGTTCGAGCCGGCCCATCCGTGCGACAGCAAAAGCCGCCGCGTGGCTCTACCACTGTTAGAACATCGCTGATTTGACGTCTCTTGAATTTTTTTTATGGGGACGTATTACATCATTAGTTTATTTTAGTGAGACAACGAGTGGCGAGGACCTAAAATAGAATAGTGAAAATGACAGTGAATTGTTTTCTAAATTATTTTCTTTCTTTTTTAAAACGTAACCTCCACACTAGGATTTTCTCTTGTATTGTGGGGGCAGTTTACAAACAAATTGCACAAGGACAAACATCCAGACCCGGAACAATTATTTGTAGGCTATATAAATACTTGTTCCGTGCGGGATTCGAACCCGCGGCCTTTAGCGCTGCAACTCAATTGCTAAGCCACTGCGCCACGGAGCCGTGGTGGACATTTTGAAAGTGTAAAATGTCCACCACGAAAGTTGCATGAGAGTTTAGGCTATCAGTAAGTTAAATATTTCATTCTTAAAATTATTGTAATCTTGTTTCACATCTTTTAAACACGCCGTCTTTGAATTATGTTGTCGTATTGCCTCTTATTTTTAGCAGTTCATTATTATTTACAATTACAATTAAAATGTTAAGCAAATTCATAACATTTTGTAACGAGTATTGCCTATAGACATTGTATCATAATCAATAAACAAAATTATTCAAAGTCGAAAGTCCAAAGCCTGAAAAGTGTGATGGAAAGATGCAATCAAATGTTTACTAGACTTAAATAAACAAATTAATGCACGGAGTTCTGACATCTGTTAATGTTCATAGGTACGTATTTCTTTAACGTAACCAATCATGTATTGTCGGCTTTTTTCGGCACTAATACCTACCTGGAGTTGTGTCAAGCGGCGGCGGCGTTAACTCGTCTCGAACGGAGCGAATACTTACTAGGCTAGCAAGACCTATACCTAGCGTTCGTGGTTTTGTACGGCGACCACAACATTCTTCCGGAATTAGTATAACTGATTTAACCCATTCAATGCGGCTCGAAAAATCGCCTTTATTACGCAGGGGCGGGCGGTTTAAAGAGCTAACTCCGATAGGCGTCGTACGCCTTTATTTAAACACTTTGACACCGATCGGCGTTTCCCGCACATGAAAATGATTCTTGCTTGTTTAGACAGAATTTTATTGACGCTTATCAGTTTACGCCATATCAAATGACTGCGTATTCAGTGGCCAAGTTACATTTGTATATAATAAGTTATTTTGTGATTAAAACAGTGAATTTTTATTAACAATACTAGCGATTTCCTATTTACCACAAATATGCTGGAAATAGTGAGTGAATTTGTTTCTATTCTATTCAGTATAGTAAGGCATATTTTCCACATTATAGAAAGATTTTTTTTTTTTTTTTTATGGGATAAGGGTGACAAACGAGCACACAGTCCACCTGATGGTAAGTGGTTGCTGCGGCCCATAGACATCTACATCTATCCTCTATTACAAATCAAAATGTAGATGCGTTGTCACCCCTGAGGACTAAGATGGAATGCCTCATTTCCAGTAAAAAGGGCCTCCGGCCACCTGCACTCACCAAGCGAAACGCAGAGGTAAACCTCTACTTCACGCTGGTTTTCTGTGAGGTCGTGGTACCACCCCGGTTCGAGCCGGCCCATCCGTGCGACAGTAAAAGCTGCAGCGTGGCTCTACCACTGTTAAACACTGTTGTTTCTAATTACACTTTGAATAACGAAATTGGTTTTTATATTAATATTTTTAATATTAATGAAATATGACCAGGGATTGCAAACCTTTTTTCTGATTTTTTTAAAGTTAAAAATACTTTTAATATTTGTATTTAGTCTACTATTTTAAATATATAAAGAATAATAACTAGTGTTTTTAATTAGTAGTTGAGAGGAAGAGAGGGGTTTTAAGTTACATACTATTTCTAGTGCATCGTAATTTGTTTCGCTTAATAATTAATAATGACTTTCTCTTGATGGTCTTGGAAGGTGAGACTCGACCATCGTCACTGAGTTTATTGAGTGACGGTGTGAGACAATTTGGTTCGCTAAAAAGAATGCCATGTGATGATCAACATTATCATCTTGATAACGTTGATGTGAAAAAAGTCATATCTAGACAAAATAAAGCGACACAGGTATCATCACAAGACATTGTGGATGCAAATTTATATAAACGCAATATTTTCGATTCTAATGAGTTTTAAATGTGACGTATCACAATTACCCCAATTAGTATATTATGTTACACTGATTTTAGAATTCAGTGTAACATAATATACTAATTGGGGTGTCTGAGGGTGTGCGTTAATTATGTTAGATATTTTATATAAAAAAATGGATCATAAATCACCTGCAGTGACTGGTCACTGTCATCTTCTTGCACTGTCTCCTATTTAATTTAGTTATCAATTATTGGTTATTTATTATAACTCTAATAAATGAAATCACTTTTACAGCTATGCGAGAGACATCATTTACACGGGGTGGCTGATGAGCCCCTGTGCTTTCGTAATGCAGATGACGGGTTGTTGAGTTTGTCTCGTAAACGAAGGAAAGTAATACCAATACATTCTGTTACGTGCGAAGTATCTCATTGATATTTATGAAGTTTTGTATTAGTGCCTTTATTCAGTTTATGAATAATTTGCTTGCAATCTATCCTCCCGTCCCGAGAGATTATTTCTTGTAATATTCTGTACAAACATGCAATTCAGACTTCAAAGTTTAATTTATTCACTGAATACATTGTTGTTAATAGCGATTGAATAAAAATAACCTTTTGATCTATAACAGCTAGAGTAAGAATTTACGTTGCATGTATACTAAAGTTAATAGGGTAAATCAATAAGTTTATGAAAACATTATAATATAATACAGCAGTTTAACTAAAACTGTTTTCTTTAACTAACAACTTAACTAAAATTATGTTAATATTTAATCTTGAACTGCCTAAATATCTTATTATATACTTTAAAATAAATTAAAAGCTATTTAGGATATTGTGTTTAATAATAACCAAAAGCAATGCTATAAAAACATTACTAATCTTTCACCACTTCTGGTAAGCTTAAAATATTTGTGTTTAGAGTGGTTCAAGACAGTAATCGAGGTTGGCGGATTCGAACCCACGAGTTCGCGGTCCGCACCCTATCGTTAGCCTACTGTCGCTTATTTCATATTAAAGTTAGCGAAAAAAATTAAACTTTGAAGTTAATGCTTGCAACACGGCAATGTTTGTACAAACGCTTTGTAATAACATAATGATCATTATAATAATTGTCGTACATTTTTTATTAGCGTTATTATCGAAAAAAAAAAACAATCAACTGCTTCGAGAATATTGACAACGATGTGACTATTACATGTGTCACAGTTCCGATAGGTCGTAAGCGACTAAAGTCGAAATGTTTGTTAAATAGCAAAATATATATTTAAATGTAATACGGGATTGCCTGTTCGGAAGGTAAACATTTTGTAGGTTTTATAACACTTAACTTTTTTTTGTATAAGATACAAGAAATATACAGATAGGTAGGAATAGGATAGACTCCATGTATAATAAATTACCTTGGTTTGTGGCTGTATATTCCCTATTAAACGCTTTTGTTGTTGTTTTAGTTAATTTATCACCGTTAAGGTGTTTTAATTAGATCGCTGCTTCTTGTTAGATTGTTGTAACGTTTCATTTTATCCATGTTTTAACACTTTTGTTGTAATTGTGTTCAAATGTTTACCTTCCTATTTTCAACACCCTGGTGCTACGAATTGCATGTGTATATAAGCAGGATATATGGGAAACTCTTAAATATATAGAATTGTTGTTCTACTGGGATCGCCCGTAGAGTTAATGTAATGAAATTATCAAATCTCACGGGCCGGTTGTCCGCAGTATGTATTATATATACATATTAATTAAATTAGTTGTTTTCGTTAAGCTATTGGCCTATTGAAGCTGATATATTATAACAAATATGTTATGAAATGAATTATTTTAATGTAAATTTTGAGCATTGTTATTGTGTACATGTGCAAGAGGCCCTCAGCAATCAATCAAATTTATTAAAGACCGATTTGGTTAAGATTGCGAATATTGGCGAAGAGCGCCAGAACATTTTAAAGCTTGCGTTGCTTTAAAAATATAGTAGCCTCGACAAACTGGTTACCAAATGCGATATTATTGTAGATGCGGTCCGAGGCGTTAGCTATGGGTTCCAACTGTTTTTAGCTGACAAGAATGGATTAGTTAATTTGTACCGATTTTTTAAATTTTTTGATTAAATTAAGTTTTATATTTTTATCGCTCCACTGTTACAAAGACATTTTTAAAAATTTACTGGAAACTGATCACTGACTTTTATGTAAATTATCTGAATATTGTTAGACATAATTTGGGTTTTTGTGAGATATATTTTCAAATTTGAAATATCCTTCTGCATAATAACTAGACTGAGATATCTATTTAAATATATTTAATTTTTTACCTTGAATATTTGAGCTATGACTTTTTTAATAATCGTGTTTCATTATTAATGATGTATAGAGATGAATTCTCTTGGAACACATAGTGAACGTTGGCCGAGTAGATACATTTTTTTAAGTTGTAATTTATATTGTGACACATGTATAAAATGTAGCAAACAGAGGGAGCGTTCTATGTGTATATTTATTTATTGTTGAAAAAAGCTTTTAATATCATATGTTTATCTAATATTTCTCCTCTGCTTAGATCAAAGTGTAAGTTTGTTGCTCCAAATCTCTATGGTTTTACTATCTCAAGTAAAAAAAAAAACTTGTAATCCACATGTGTGCAACGGGCCTTTGTCTGACGTTTAAAAATAAATTGTATTGTAATTAAAATCACGATGAAGTGATTGGAATTAGTTTATTTTTACGTAAAAATATATTACGTTAAAAGTGTTGCGAGTTGTAAGATAAGTGAGAACGCTGCAGCTATTTATTTAAGCTAGGGTTGTGCCGAAGCTACTTTTTCAAAAGTTTTGTTAAATGATGTTGGTTTTGTTAAAGGCACTTGTGTATACAAATTTCACTCATAAATACAGTAAACAAAGGCAGTTTTTTGAGTGACCATAAAGTGATATTGTTTTTTCGCGTAACCTGAAAGTGAACTGGTTATTTGTTACAACCCTAATTTCAAAAGCTGTTAAAAGTAATTGGAAGTATGAAATAGTCTTTAACAAGCGTTCCTCTGGGAGTCCAGCGTCATGTAAAATTTAATGAATTCGACGTTTTGGAAGCCATGCAACTATTTCGTGTTAGATAGATTTTGTTGTCCAATGTAATTAGTTATCACATAATTAGGTGAATATTCTTATGTAAATAAATAAAGGATTCCTTTATAATTTGTTGTTTTATTTAAAAATATAACTCACATAATATTTGAATATTGAAACTTTACTTAACAATATGAGATCACAATGTTTCTTTTGCAAATAATTTTCTGTTTCTAAAAGCTATCAGCAGTTTGGTTTAGTTTTTGATTTAACTCCATATGAGAGAATTTCTTCTATAGATAGCTTAAGTTTATCTTTTACTTGCGTCTTTGGTTTTATCTGAAAAAAAAAAAAAACAACAAATATTTGTTTTTATTGTAAGATGACTTTCTACAATCGTTAAAGCTAATAGAAAACTATAAAATAGAAGGGATATAAAATATCAACTTGAAACCACGTGATTATACTCATTTTTACAGTTTTCTATTAAGTTAGTTTAAAATTAACTTGGCTAATCTATTAGTCGTGTAGATATGATACTGGTAAAAAACATTGAGTTCTTTATTAAAGATGTTAAAATCCCCAACAAAACACACCAAGTTAAAAAACATTGACAACAACTAATTTTACAGATTTTATCATATTCGATTTTAATTTATGTAACTACTTTATGTTTTGAGTTTTTGCAACATCTATGGAAATAAGGTTCTAATGTGCTGGACATCCTGGTGTATTTTCTTAGACTTCATTTGTATTGTAGTTTTGTAGAATTGAATAAATTGCTTGTAAGAAAGAGCCGTGGTAGCTCAGAAAGAACCGCGGTAACTCAGATGGTTAGCGCTCGCTGTAAATTTCACAGCATACGAGCAAACCGGGTTCGATCCCCGCCGGCATCAATAAAATTGTTAATTGCAATTTTAAGGGCTGACTTACCACGTGCTCGGCGGTGAAGGTTTGCTTATGTCTTCATTTTAATACAAAAAAATAAATAAAAAAAAAAACATAAAAAAATACTAATATTTAGGGGCCGTGATTTTTTTTTCAAAAGGTAATTTTTTTGAGACTCACCATTTATGCCTTAATAAGCTTTATGTCCTTTATGTCTGAGCTTAATTGAAACCATCTAATTCCTTATTACAGACAGACACGTTAATTTTATTTATATGTATAGATAAAATCTATTAAAAGTAGTTATTTTTTACTGGAAAAGTGGCATTCCATCTTAGTCCTCACGGCTGACAACGCATCTGTATTTTGATTCACAAACGAGGATAGACGTAGATGTCTATGGGCCACAGCAACCACTTACCATCAGGCGGACTGTGTGTCACCCTTATCCTATAAAAAATATATTACATAGGATGGCATACCAATTCCACGTCACTCCTAAAAGCCCCTTTAGCGAAGTGGACGACACCGTTCGCTTTCAGACCGTAGTGTTGGCAGGTGGATTCCACGTCGGCATTGCTGTCGAAGGCCAGCCATCTTCGCACCACTTCAGTGGGCACAGTCAGCTGCTTGCTGCTGTATCCGTGGCTCATTATATGTAATGCTTTCCTGTAAAATAAATAATTGGCTATATTATAGCCAGAACAATATTGTTCCCGTATTTCTAATCTCCTGGATTGATTTGAAGTTGTGGCCTAACAAGGAATGCCTCGTTTCCAGTAAAGAAAGGTCTCCAGTTCTTTACACTCACGATAGAAAACATAGGAGCACCATTGTACACACTTTTTATCATGCGGCTCACCTGACGGTAGTCACATAACATCAGGTGATCCGCATGATTGTTTGTCCTCTGCTATAAAAAAAAACACAAATGGGAAGTTAATAGGGTAAACCGAATCGCACCAACACCAATTATTAAGATTAAAATACTGTTGTCACACAACTGGGAGAGGCCGCTGATCCCTAAGATACAGACTTGTCTAGTTTGGGGATCAGAGTCTTCACTTTATTATTGTACTTTTATTTAAATAAATGATTATTATTATTATTATTATTATTAAAATTCACATATTTGAGTTTTGTTACAACTTTTCCTGATATTACAAATGATCTTACCTTTGAAGTGTGGGTAGGTATAGATTAAATGCACAAAAAGTCAATGGACATAGGTTTTTTGAAAGTCTGCAAACTTTCACATAATTGCCTTTTAGATTTGCTATTGCGATTTCATAGGCCAATCGTAGGAGAGGGGCGCTGAAAAGGAACACACATTTTATTATGACGTTTTTATTAACTCACTTCCTTCTCTGTTAGTCTATTTGATACAAATTTTGCAATCGATTTTCAATTAACTTTCCGATGAGCTAGGTACTTAACCCTTAAATATAGTAGCCCATATTGGTAATGAACTGTAAACTCACTATCTTACTACTATCTGTTTGGTACTAATATTGCAATGGATTTTAAGAAAAGCAGTGGCGGATTATTATCCTTAAGGCAAACTAAGGACGTGCCTAGAGGTGTAAGATTAAATGGGGCGAGTGCGGAAGTACATATTTAAACGAAAAAAAAAATCGTCCGCCTGGTCCTTAGCAGTACACATGATCTACAGGGTACACATGTCTCAATCAACTATAATATAGCTTATATTATAAATTATAATTCATGGCCGCCAGGGGGCGCCCAAGAGGTGCTAGCCTAGGATGCTGTGGACGTTTAATCCGCCTCTCTTCCTGAGAGACTTGAAACTTTAAATAAAGCTTTATTTTAACAGTGGTAGAGCCACGCGGCAGCTTTTGCTGTCACACGAATGGGCCGGCTCGAACCGGGGTAGTACCACGACCTCACAGAAAACCAGCGTGAAGTAGAGGTTTACCTCTGCATTTCGCTTGGTGAGTGCAGGTGGCCGAAGGCCATTTTTACTGGAAATGAGGCATTCCATCTTAGTCCTCACGGGTGACAACGCATCTACATTTTGATTTGTAACAGAGGATAGATGTAGACGTCTATGGGCCGCAGCAACCACTTACCATCAGGTGGACTGTGTGCTCGTTTGTCACCCTTATCCTATAAAAAAAAGCTAAGAATTGGATAGCAATGTAATATTGGCTATCTTGTCTATATCTTTGTTTGTGAGATGAGAAAGATTACGGAATTTATGTCGCTGTGAGAGATATGTGTGGGAATGTGCGATGTTGTTGGCTAATAATGTACTAGTTAGTTATGCCTGATAACCTCGCAATAACTCACAGAAGGTGCCGAAGTTGCCTATCGGGTTCAATTATAAAAATCTCCCAAGTGACTGATGTTGTATTCAGAAATTACAATTTACAGGTTAAGATATATTTTATGGGCAATACAATATATTTCCTACTTGGTAGCGGCCTAGCGTGGGCTGTGACGGGGAACGACTGGCGTTCGCCGTCGAGCGCACTTCGCACACAAGGGTAAAATGTCAAATCAGCAAAATGTATGTAACTACTGAACCCTACATCGCCAACTGTAGGTACACTACAAGCATGCTATAGTGACTTCAGTAACAGATAACCATCATTACAGCCCCATCATCTACTAGGCCTCCTTCAAGGAATGCCACAAAGCACGGTCCTAAGGCACTTGCATCCATCGTCTTCCTGCATTTCTTACTGTGTAATCAACATATGGATTTGAGATATGGCCCTTCACTGTTAACATTCACTGCTTTTACACGCTGCCCAGCCAAGTTGGATCCGTCAATTGACCCCTCTAAGTTGGACTTATCTAGACAGACCTAGGTAAACATACTCGTCAACAACTTCAAGCATAGAGCTCCCAACGACTACTAACCTGGTGTGACGAGGACGTTATGAAAGACCTTTGTCTAAGTGACAGCATAATTTACCTTTTGATTTCTGGTCGCAGTGTTAGAAACCTAAATAATGGATGCATGTCATCCAAATTACATAATATATACAAGCTCTCCATAAGTATTTTATCACATGTAAGTTTCTGGACAGGCTTCTTGTCTAATGTCCAAGCTGAGAATAATTCACTTAGATCATTATCTACCTTGTTGCTTTTAGTTTGTCCTTCTAAAATATCACAACAATATAGAAACCATTTCATGCATTCCAAAAGATACTTCTTATTCAGTACTGGATCAAATTCATTTATAGAACATCCAGATAATCTGCAACAAAATATTTCTTAATTATAATATATAAAGGTGATATTGAACATCGGCAATGACTGACAATGTATAAAAATTAATATAATAATACACTGTTAAGCTAAACTAGAATAAAAATTAAAGTTACAGCATATATACGTCCCACTACTGGGCACAGGCCTCCTCTCATTTCTGAGAGGGTTTTAGGGCAAGGAAGTGTCTGCCCCAATGTGTGTTGGCTAACTTCTCATGTCTTTGAAATATATTTTTTTTTCTTATTTCTCAGACATGCAGGTTTCCTCACGATGTTTGCCTTCACCGCTCGCTCGGCACGAGGTAAATTAGCACTTAAAATTGCAATTAACAATTTCATTGGACTAATAAGTAATTAAAAACTATGGCAATTATCGCCCCTATGAGGCAATCTATTATGGAGGCACATGTTCAGCAGTAATTTACTGTGAGGGAAATATTATGTACCTTCATTCTTAAGCTCTGATGTAATTATGCCATCAACTTATTCTCTTAATTATGTTTTTTAACTAAGATTGGAATGATTAACGAGACCAGTTCATTTGATGGTAAGTGGAAGCTATATCCCATAGACATCTACATCTGTCCTCTATTAAAATGTCATTGTCATCCTTTAGGACCAAGATAGAATGCTCCGTTACCAGCAATAAGCTGATATTCTGAGAGTCTTTCCTCGATTGAGCCCACCCATTCTTTTCCATTCAAAAGAACAATTGCAGACTTTCATACATAAAATTAGTTGAGAAGGAATGAAATTAGTTGAGTCTATATATAAAAAAAATATCTTAAAAGTTCAGTTTTTGTTTCAGTCCCTGAATAACTTTGTCAAAAACATTTGCCTTGAGGTGTCAAAAAAAAATTAGATTTGAACCTTTTTAGGTTATGTCTTATGTAACTTATGACACACTCACGAAAGTCATGGGTCCTGTGGTTGTTTGGTGTTAGCTTAATACATTCTGAACATAATGTACCTAACTACATAATTGAGAGTTTTTATA